TTGAGCCATATCTTGGGGCCAACCTTATTTATTATTAAGGATTACATTATAAGGAGTGGAACAGGAAAGGAAGCTAAAAAGTAAAGGAGGAATTGTTTGAATGATAACTCTGAAATATTTTATGCCACAGGGGGAAAAGAGGCAATATTAGAGTCAGAGAGGGAATTAATCCATGCAGTTCAATGATTTTCTGATTTAAGTTTTCTAGTAGCCTCTATAAACTATATTGTTGTACATGTTTTGGGTCACACCCAATGGTGCTCAGGGTTCACTTCTAATTCTAAACTCAAGAATCACTCCTGGCAGGCTTAGGAGGCCCTATGGGATTCTGGAGATTAAACCCAGGTAGGCTGCCTAGCAGGCCTTATTCACTGTATTATCTCTCTAGCCCTTTTGGTTTTTTTAATGTATTTTTAAGACCACACATAGTAGTAATCAAGGATTATACAGGGTCTTGTATTCCTTGGATGTGCTCAGTAAGTATAGGCAATGAGAGGAATTGAACCAGAATCATCTGTGTGCAAGGTACATAACCTTAAGTTTTGTACTGTCTCTCTGGCCTTGGAGCCCATGCTTTGCATATGGGAAGTCTGGGATCAATCCCTGGTACCACATGGTTCTACAAGCACCAGTGGGTAGCAACACATGAGCACTGAGCCAAGAGTATCCCTGAAACATCTCTCAGTGTGATTCTCCAGAAAACAAAAACCAAGAAAAAAAAGTCACATTTTATAGTGACCAGTGAGAAAAACTCAGAAGGGTCCCTGGGATGTCTTAAAGTCACCATTCACCAAGGATTTCTTGTTTTGACAGCTTCTGTGCTATTTGTGATAGAAACTTTTATTTTATTTGTTTTTAAAAAGTTTTTAATTTAGGGGCTGGAGCGATAGTACAGTGGGTAGGGCTTTTGCCTTGCACACGACCAACCTGGGTTCAATCCCCAGCATTCCATATGGTCTCTCAAGCACAGCCAGGAGTAATTCCTGAGTACAGAGCCAGGAATAACCCATGAGCATTGCTGGGCATGACCCAAAAAGCAAAATTAAATTTAAAAAATTTTGTGTGTGTGATAGAAGCTTTTATTTTGTCTTTAGTATGAAGCTTCCCCTGGGGTGGGGAAGGTGGGTGATGGACCCTGGGACAATGGTGAAGGGCAGCAGACACCTGAGGGATGGAGACTCTGGTGCTAGACTAGTTTATGTATAAAAGCCTACTAATGGTTTGTAAACCATGGTGCCCAAAATAAAAATTTTAAATGTAAAAAAAAAAATGGGAACCTTGAGATAGTTCAGAGGTTTGGGACACATGTTCTGCATGTAAAAACATCCCCAGGACCAAAGTGTGAACCCCAACACTACATGCTCCCCAAAGCATCACCAGACATAGCCGTGGAGATCCCCAAGCACTGCCAGGATGATTCTGGAGCCTCTGCCCTACAGGGTCTAAACAGAACCTCATAATTTTGGATACTAGCATGAAACTGCCTTGCCAGTTTGGCCAAGTATTGCCAAAGTGACTCTTGGGCCTTCCGACCAATGCTCTATCGTTCTTTTCTCCCTCCGTTTAACCAAAGACTGGGTGAGAAAAGGAGACACCAAGTTTAATTGGTGGATAACACCAGACACACAGAAACCAATCTCGTAATTATCTGGCTCTTTGCAGAAATCCAAAATTATTATATAACTTTCATAACCAACTATAAAAAACAAAGTATTTCACAATGCCTTTTCAGCAATTCTGATTGTTGTGGGCGGGGAATTCTAAACAATAATGGTGTATCTTTTGGCAAAATAATGAATGCAATCAATGTAGAGAAAAGTTAAGTAGAAATCATCTGCCTCACAGACATTGGGAGGGGTGGGGCGGGTATATTGGTGTTCTTGGTGGTGAAAAATGAGTACTGGTGAAGGAAAAGGTGTTTGATCATTGTATGGCCAAGACTTAAACCTGAAAGCTTTGTAACTTTTCCCACAGTGATTCAATAAATAAATATAAGAAGAAAAATAAATAAAATTATAAAAAAAAAAAGTAAGGTGGAGTTCATGCCCAATTCAATCAGCTAATCAGTGGCTGAATAAATAGCAGTATTCCTACATAAAAAAAGTTTAATTGGTGGGAGATGAATGTTTAATAGACAAGATGAGCATCTGAACAGGTACTTAATTGACAAGATTTTCAACTGATAGAGTGGACATAAAAGGTGCTGACACCAAATTGTAATGTAGAAGGCAATAAAAATATATAGTAGGTTTAACCTGTAACAATATCTTAGTAATTTTTTTTCTTTTTGGGTCACACCCGGAAATGCACAGGGATTATTCCTGGCTCTGCACTCAGGAATTACTCCTGGCGGTGCTCAGGGGACCATATGGGATGCTGGGAATCGAACCCAGGTCGGCCGCGTGCAAGGGAAACACCCTACCTGCTGTGCTATCACTCCAGCCCCAATCTTTTTTTTTTTCTCCCAGCCCCAATCTTAGTAATCTTTTATACAAGGGTTTAATGGATCATGGTAAGATACGACAATCTTCACTAATTGCTTATAAGGAAACATTTTTTGATCATTCTTTTAGCAAACTACTTATAATAAGCAATATAAAATAAATTAGTGAGGGCCTGCTATGGGGGCAGGCTTAAGGGATGGTTGGGAGAATTGGAGAAGGTACATTGGTGGTGGGATTGGTGTTAGTATATTGAATGTCTACAAAAATCATCATGAACAACTTTTTAAAAAATAATAAAATTCAGCTCTGGGGAGAGTTAAGTATTTTGGGGGGGTTAACCTGGAAAGTTCAGAAACTAAGACAAAATTAAAAGTTTTCTCATGAGGCAGAAGAAATAAAACTCATAGTCCTTAGCATTATCAGCTTATTTTCTGAACTAAGTGATGTCTCAAAGGGCTAGTGCTCATGTTTTACTCATGGAAGACTTGGGTCTGATGAAGGCATGGTCCCCCAGCACTGCTAAGAGTAGCCATCAGGCATCACCAGGTGTGGCCCAAAGTCCAATAAATAAATTAAAAAATTTACTTTCTTTTGCAAAACTACATGTCTGGCCTTTATGGTGGAAAATTCCTGTTGATAATTCCAATAGCTCAACATAGTCTAAAGATTACATTTGATGAGAGAAAGAGAAAGAGGGAGAAAAGAGTTGCCTGCCATAGACGCAGGCTGGAGTGTGTGGGGGGGGGTGATTTGAAGGGGTGGGAGGGAAATTGAGGGACACTGGTGCTGGAAAATTACACTGGTAAAGGGATGGGTGTTAAAATATTATATGACTGAAATGCAATCATGAACACTTTTGTAATGTTCTGTCTCACTGTGATTCAATCAAAAATAATAAATAGATAAAAATAAATAAAATTAAAGATTACATTTGATTCATGTTTACAAATTATCTTACTGAAGAAATACACTTAAATAATTTGACTTCCTCTGCTACTATTGAATATATTGATTAGCAAGAACATCTGACCCTCTTATTACACTATCCTCATTGTAAAGGAACAAGTATTTTTGTTTATACTTGGATCTTTTCTGAGTTTGATTAGCTTAAAGATTCAGTGACTGGTCTATTCTTAGTGCAAAAAGGAGATCCAATTTTGTGCTTATAAAGTTTGAAGGTCCTAGCCAGTGTGAGTCGTTAACCAAGGTGTCACCAAGATACTGGACTCTTGAAATTGCCAAAAATAGGTCAGCACGACTGGGGTGCTTCAGAAACACTGGAAGGAGGAAGTATAATAATGGACACGTTAGGGAGTAAGTGGTATCTTGTGGGATACCTTGAAAACTGGATTGAAGACTGCACAGACTTACTAAAGATAGATTAGCAAGGAATGTCACAAAATTAGTTCTCAATCTGAGGAGACCCTCGTTAGCAGTCAGTATGAAAGCTGGATTGGATCAGGACAACCAGAGGTAGGGAAACAATTATAAGAGTATTGTAAATTAGGGAGGGATGAGGGGGGTCACAGCAGCAATGCTCAGGGGTTACTCCTGACTCTGCACTCAGAATTACTCCTGGCAGTGTTTGGGGGACCATATGAAATTCTGGGGATCAAACCCAGGTGGTTGCATGCAAGGCAAACACTCTATCCACTACCACTCTGGCCTTGAGAATGTTGCAATTATATAGGAAGAATTGCAGTGACCCGGAGAAAGGACATGGACACGACAAATGAAGTGGAAGGACCTGTGCCCCTCATTCCCCACCCCCGTCCCCCCACTGGAACATTCCTGTGTCCATATTGACCATGCCATGATTTTCTCACTCATAATATGTGAAAAGGATTAGCTACCCTGCCAGTCGGGGAGACTGAGGCCACGGCCGAGGGTCCGGGAAGCCGCAGCCAAGGGTCCCTCCGCAAGATGTGCTGGGAGCGGGGCTGGACGTTTGCCTAGCGCGAGGCCTACCTGGGTTCCACTCCCAGCATCCCACATGGTCCCCTGAGCACCGCCAGGGGTAATTCCTGAGTGCAGAGCCAGGAGGAACCCCTGTGCAATGCCAGGTATGACCCAAAAAGAAAAAAAGCAAAAAAAAGATTTGCTGGGAGTGGCACTTGGGCGGGGAAGGTGTGAAATGCTTGGCACAGAACTGGACACACAACACAGCCTTTCCAGACCTAAAATAAAATTGAGTCTAATTTATAGAATTTGGACACGATTGGGTTCTATGCCTTAGATTGTACAATGGAATTTAAAAAATTTTTTTATATTCGCACAATATATTATTATCTATTATCTAGTTTTTACTCTGGAGAACCTGGCAGGCTACCAAAAGTATCCTGCCTGCACGGCAGAGTCTGGCAAACTCCCCATGGCGTATTCAATATGCCAAAACCCAGTAACAATGATAGGTCTCATTCTCCTGACCCTGAAAGAGCCTCGAATGTGGCACTTTCTAAAATCTCAGGGCTAGGACGAAGGAGACATTACTGGTGCCTGCTTGAGGCAATCGATGAACAACAGGATGACAGTGATACTGATACCACCTGCCTGAGAGAAAGGGATTGCCATCTTCTGGCCTTCTGAGTCATTTAAAATAATTTTCAGAAACCCATCTTTTTCTCATAAAGCAAGTAAAGATGTTTGATGGCTCTTGAGGCAAACTGGAGCTTATGAAGTTCCTCTGACAGGGTACAATCTGGACTAAGCCCAAACACAATGTTCCTCTCCAGGCCTGAAAACTGCTGAAGACTGTCCAAAATGATGTGAGGGCCCCAAACACCAGCAGCGTGGTTGAACACGACTTCTGTTGCTCCAGGAATCTCAATTAATTCCATTGCACTTAGCAGTGCAGCCTCATAACGTCTTCGGTCCTCTCGTCTCCTGCACAGAATTGCCACGTCTTGGGGCAGGTAGCCCTGTTGAAACAGATCATGACATTTCCTGGTCACATGTTCTGCCATTTGTTCTGTTGTCAGATTGGTCCATGTCTCACACACCCCCCGTGGAGCCTGCGCACACATGGTCTTCTCGTAGGCAGCTTGCCGGAACAAAGCCAGCGTGTCTGGAGACAGGTTGGAGGGAGGATTGTTTTTGATCCTCACCATTTCTTCTTTCATGACCATCGCTATTTCCAGGGCACAGTGGACCCCATCAGTGATGATTTTTCGAGGAAACTGAGCTGATGGAGGGGGGAGACCACTGACGTCTGCACGACGGGCTTGGAAAGGATCCAGAAAAAGCCAGAGAATCCCATGGTGAGGGTTCTCACTTCCAGCCCCCCTCACGTTGGGGTGGGTGATGCTTCTAGCCTTAGTGTACCAATCGCCATAGGTGCTGCAGAAATTCTCAGTCTCATCCATCACAATGTGCTTTATCTTTAGGAACTCCCCTCGCATAAAGTTTCTGCGGGTCACAGCCTGGCAGGTTTTTTGTTCCCTATGAGAGTGAAAGAGAGAACAGAGTTTTAGGTAAAAAAAAATAAATGGAATATTGTGCATTTGTGGTTCTTTCGGGCTAGTCCTCAATTGGTGATTACTTCATACCTGTTTTACCTATATATTACCTAACAGACCAGATACATAATATCAAATTCTACCTTTTTTTTTTGCTGTTATCTAGTTAAATTAGCATGTAAAGCTTTTAAAATGAACCCAGGTAGGAGTTTTTTTTTAATTACTTTTACTAACAGGTCATTCCTTCATGACAACCACTGAAGACAAGTTCCTTGTCTAAAGAAAATCTCAAAAGTAATTTGCATGTGTTACTACCATTTCTTTACTTTTGGTCCCTTTTAGGAACTAGAGAACAAATCACCTAGTAATATATCGGAATTTTCACACACAAGAGATTAATAATAGAAATTCCTCAAAAGCAAGTCTAGTTACCTGTTTAATTGCATAGTACTAAAGGAAAGCCTCTTTAGATTTTTTTTGGCAAGAAAAATTTTAAGAGGTGCCTGACTTTTATGACATGTCAACGTAAGATATCAAATTTATACAATTGTGCCTCTCTAGAAATAGAACTTTTTTTATGTACCTCAACTTACCTTTATATTGTTTCAGTATATCAGAGGAGGAGGAGGGAAAAATTAGAGAAAGAAAAAAATCCAAATCATGTAGTTATGATTTTTTTACTATTGCTTATATATGAACAATATATAGTTATGTGTGCATACCAATTCACAGTTCAAGGGGTAATGCATGTAACTAACATGAGTGAGACCTTAAGTTCTATCCTAATGCTGCATGCCCCCTGCCCTTAGCACTGCTGAGTGTGACCCCAGTGGTGCCCAAATGCAGTGTCTTCTATAAAAATATAAATTTTTATATATTTATATGCACATATCTGTACATATTCACATAGGTATGTGTATATGTACATATTTTATATATACCTCATATTTTGTCTATTTCTGCCTTGGAGCCATATCTGGTGGTGCTCAGGGCTCTATGCTCTATGCTCTATGCTCAGGGACCACTCCTGGTGAATTCAAGGGAATATGTTTGGTGCCTGGGGTTGAACCTGGGTCAACCACACGAAAGCAAGAGTCTTATCTGCTATCTTTCTAGCCCTTAAATACTATTACTGTCACTGTCCTTCCATTGTTCATCGATTTTCTCGAGCAGGCCCAGTAACATTGTGAGACTTGTTATATACATATTTTATATATGTATATATACATATTTTATAAATATATTTTATATTATATTATAAATATTATATGTTATTTTATAAATACATATATATTTAACAAACTTGGTTATTTCTTGCCTCCTCTAATTTGAATCCACATATGGTCCCTTGAGCACTGCCAGGAGTGGTTGGAAGGTTGAGCACAGAACCAGTGGTAAACCTTGAACACAGCCAGGTGTAGCTCAAACCTCCCCCACCACACACACACACACACACACACACACACACACACACACACACACACATCCCAAAACACAGCAAATTATTTTAATGGTACTCTAGAAAAGATTAAATCTGTTGATTGTGTTAAGTTCATGAAAGTCTTACATCACATAATCCTTTAAGGAGTCATTTTCACAAACATAGAGGATCTCTTTTGGTTTGCAGTGAAATAAATCCTTAATTTTCGTGATGATCTTTATGGCTATGGCTGTCTTTCTGATTCCTGGAAAGCAATAGATGAGCAATTCTCGTGTCTCCTGAAGGCTCTCTGAAAGCAGCTCACACTGCTCCTCGATAAGCAAGTTGAGAAATTCGTTGCTCAGTTGGTCACTTAAGAGAGAGCAAGAGCTCATAGAGACCACTATAAGAGCTTGCAACAAGTCTTCCATTTCCTCTTCATTAGGAAGCCTGTAGGACTGGGGATAACGCACTGGCATTTCACTGGGCCTGTGCCCTATGCTGGACAGGTGTATCAAGCTAGGAATGACACACACTTTCCCTGTGTAGCCACCGGCAGTACCCAGTTTCTGCTTTAACTGTTGAGCTGTATTTCGTGCATATTCAAACCCTCCAATCCAAGTAGGGTCTCTTAAGATTGTGTAGAGCACCAGAGGGCTATTCATGGCTATTAGGAGAGCATCACACAGAACATTCTGCTCTTTCTGTAAGCCAATATCCCTTGCCCAGCTTTTAGAAAATATCACAATGCCCTGAGAACAAGGATATATGTGCATCTTCATTAATTCCTTCAGTCCTCTGTGATCTGAGAATAGCTTCTGACAGAAGGATTCAGGTTTAAACTGTATTTCTTCCCGAGTCACTGAAATTCAAGGAATAGAAGTCAGTTACTAAAATTTGCAAAAGTGTAAGTATTCCTGCCATATCACAGGAAGAAATGAGACTAGTCATGGGACGATGGTTTCCTTATCTGCATAGAAAGCACCCTCTTTCTTCTCAGGCCAGGACTGCAAAGTGCCTATTTCTGAACTCTCATATAGAGGAAGGCCACCAGGGAGAGAGTCTTCACTGAATAATCTTCTAATACCAACTCTTCAATCCCAAATGGTACATTATACTTACTTACTATTATAATTTTTTGAGTACATGGTGGTTTTGGAAAAACTAGGAACCTTTCTATAAATTATTCTTGCAATCCTCTCTGGGGTAACCACCTTCCAACACTGTATGCATTTGCTCACCTTTACTTTTTTTTAAAAAAATTTTATTAGTGTAATACCTTGAGGTACAGTTGTAGACTTAAAAGTTTTTGTGCTTGGGTTTCAATTATACAATGATCGAGTACCCATCCCTCCACCAGTGCCCATTTTCCACCACCACTGATCCCAGTAACCCTCCCCCCCACCCCCCCCTTTGTGGCAGGGCATTCCCTTTTGTTCTCTCTCTCCTTTTGGGTGCTGTGGTTTGCAAAAGAGGCATTGAGAGGCAGTCATTCACCTTTACTTTTTGACCATTCCTCTCTTGCATGCTTTCTCTCTCTGAAAAAAACCCATACTCGTTGAAACTAACCACAAGTGTGTGTGGGGGCTGAGGGTAGGTAAAATAGAGAAGAGACCAGTATGACAATAATTGTTGTGGATTATCATGCTGGACAAGATCTGAGGGTTAAAAGTAGGTAAGGAATATTCTTCATAACCTTTCAGTTCCAATATTGCAAACCACAATGCAAACCACAAACCAAAGAGGCAGGCAGGGGGTGGGGGGTGGGGGGTGATTGGAGGGGACCTGGGAGCACTGGTGCTGGGAAATATACACTGGTGGAGGGATGGGTATTGGAATACTGTATGACTGAAATACAATCATGAAGGACTTTGTAATGCTCTAAAAAAATTATAAAAATTTTTAAAAAACATACTCTCTCAATAAAACTATTGTATACATATGTACATATAGTTCTTAAAAGCATATCATAAATATACATGATTTTTAACACGATAATTTTGCATTCCCTACCCCTCACCATACATCCACTCCCCTGAAATATTTAGCCATGTTTGGACATTTTTGGATCGTCACAGTTGGGTCAAGGATACGACTGTCATTTAGAGGTCAAAGGCCAGGAATTCTACTAAATATCCCATAATTTATAGGACAAATCTCTGCAACAAAGAGCTACTTGACCCAAACGTTAATAGAGCCTCCTTGAAAACTCTGCATTAGAAAGAATCCAGGTGACCTCATCCATTAACTCCTTTTACATCAGAAAGACAAGAAACAATTCTCCCAAGATAGGGACCTAAGGGGTTTAAGAAAATTCCTTGGACCGGAGAAGTAATACAGGGATTAAGGCACTTGCTTTGAACCCCACTAACCCTGGTTCTATCCCTGGCACCACGTGTGGTTCTCTGAGCTTATTGCCAGGCAATAGCACTTGAGCATTGATAAGTATAGTCCAGATTCCCCCACAAAACAATTTTTTAATTGAAAGAAATTAAATTAACTTCTCTCAAATATGGAGAACAATTGTCCTCTATAACTAAGAAGCCACTAAACCCACAGCAGTATAGTGTGGTTTTTCTGGCTGGAAAACAAGAACCAGTCACATAAATTATTTCAGCAGTCTTTGGTCTATTAGGTCCTACATTTACTCTTTCCCTAAGGAGAAAGGCTGAGCTAACTGCTACTGATTCCTTCCAATTTATTTTTTATAAAATAAAAAGTTTCCTCCACTAGAATCAAGAATAAGTACCTGGAAACAAGCTTTGTTGAAGAGTCCTCTTTAATTTCAGGATCTTTGTGGGATATGATAGGCTTCTTTGTGCAGATGAAGCTGGTGAACTCAGAGGAAAGCAGTATTCTGTGGCCAAATAGGAAGGAACTAAACAAATGCATGAAAAGTTATTTCAGATAAGAGTAAATTAGGACAAGAGAAAGAATTATCTTATAAAATTACTCAAGGGCTAGAGAGATATTATAGGGGCTATGGTTCTTGCCTTGTCTGTTGCCAACTAGCATTGGATCCCAGGCACTAAGATCCCTCAAGCACCACCTAGAGTCACTCACTCATAAACACAGAGCCAGAAATAGCTCTGGAGCACCGCTAGGTGTGGTCCCATACTCCAAAATACAATTAAAACAACTAAAACTTTGATCTAAGTTTCTTTGATCAAATTTGTGGAACACTAAAGAAAAGCTAATAAGCTTCGTTCAATCTGAAAATCCTTTATTGATAGATTCAAAATCCCAGGGACGGTTCTGAGCAGATTATTTAGAGGGGAAAATAGTCTTAGCCCTCTGTCCCGATCCACTGGTCTGGTATCTCATTTTGCAATACTTTCTCTCCACTGGGTGGTGCCCTAAGCCCAATAATGACAAGTATGATCTCCTAATGTTTTTCTGTCAATTCAAAGTGGTGAACAACTTTCTCTAGAAAGAACTGGCTTTCCTCGACAATCTTTAAGAAAATAATTATTAATTCACTGAAATATCAGCTTTAGAGGATGGAGAGATAGCATAGTAAGTAAGACTCTTGCCTTGCTAACCGCCAGCTGGGATTGGATCCTCTGCATCCCCTGTTGTTCCCAGGGCACTGCCAGGAGTGATTCCTGAGTGCAGGCAGAGCCAGGAGTAACCCCTGAGCATTGCCAGGTGTGACCCAAAAACAAAATAAATAAATAAAATCAAAATTAAATATCATCTTTGAGTATTGATAAATGTTTTTGGCAAGTATTATAAGCCTGTGAAACAAAGGGAAATTTACACTTCTTCATCCAGGAAGTATTATAATTTTCCTCAAACAGACTCAAATATAAATTTTGTCTTCTTTTAATCCCAGAGAGATATTTTGAGTCTTTTTAATTAGTTATATTAGACAAAGAACCTTGAAGAGGTAAAGTATGTGTAAGCAAAAACAGTTTTTGATTTATTTTTATTTATTTTGTTTTGGGGGACACACTTGGTGCTTCTCAGGCGTTACTCCTGGCTCTGCGCTCAGGCATCACTCCTGGTGGGCTTGAGGGACCCTCTGAGATGCAGGTGGGCCACAGGAAAGACAAGAGCCCTACTGGCTCCTGGGTTTTATTTTCTTATTATTTTGGCTTTTGGGAGTGGGGGTCACATCCAGTGATGCTAGGGGGTTACTCATGGCTCTGCACTCAGAAATTCTTCCTGGTAGTGCTGGATATCCATACGGAATGTCAGCGATCAAACCCGTGCAAGGCCTACCCATTGTACTATCTCTCCAGCCCCTGCTTTTTTTTTTTCTTTTTCGGTCACATCCAGCTGATGCTCAGGGGTTACTCCTGGAGGCGCTTGGGGGACCTTATGGGATGCTGGGAATCAAACCCTGGTCGGCCGAGTGCAAGGCAAACGCTCTACCAGCTGTGCTATTGCTCCAGCCCCTGCTTTTATTCTTTTTTTTTTTAAGTTTTTTTTAAACATCTTATTTATTTATTTATTTATTTAGCTTTTTGGGTCACACCAAGCGATGCTCAGGGGTTGCTCCTGACTCTGCACTCAGGAATTAGTCCTGGCAGTGCTTCGGGGACCATATGGGATGCTGGTAATCGAACCTGGGTCGGCACCGTGCAAAGCAAACGCCCCACCCACCCACACTATCTCTCCAGCCCCTGTTTTTTATTCTTTATCAAAATGTTGTGATCAAATGCCCATGAAGGCGGAGAAGGATTTCCTCCTGATGACACTGACTTTGCTTCCTTTTTACCTGACTGGATGCCCAACATCAGGCGCACCCAGCGCTCAGTTGTCAGCTTTGTGATCGAATCGTTCCTCATGATCCAGGAATCCGGTTCTCCCGTGAATACTACACAGCAGAAGGGCTTCACTTGAACCATACAGACATAACCATACAGGACATCTCTTTGGTACACATTCAAAATTTTGGTGGTGAAATTCACCTTTGGCTTCTCACAGCAGAAGTGGTATGTAGGCAATTTTTTTATGCAGCTTTCTATTTCATTTTTTAATGAGTCAGGATTCACTTTTTCTCTCTTACAGCCAAACACTTCCTTGGTTTTATCATCGACACCAATAATTATGTATCCCCCCTCAGTGTTGGCAAATGCAGAGACGTAATGAGGCAGCATCTCTTTAATACGAGGGACAATCTTTTTGGTGGTAAACCTTTTCAGTTCAACATGGGTTGACTCAGTAAAGTTGAGCTTCTCCTTATACACAAGTCTGTCCTTTTTAAACAGTTCTGCGGCACATATCCTCATATCTTCCTCTTCTTGAATGTACCTGTCAAGAACTTCCTGAGGACACAGTTCCTTCACTCTCTGCCTTCCTCTTTGAGCTCTAGACTGCTTCTCCCGCAGAAGCTCCAAAGCACTGATAGCACTCAAGTTGATAGCAGAAGTCACAGCTCTTTGATATAAGTTGGAGTGCAAACTGCAAATCCTTAGTGGGGCACTACAAGCCTCTGGGTTCCACGCCTTGACAAAAATCAGGAGGTTGTGACCCTGCTGCATGTAATCGAGATATTTCTGTGATCCTGAAGGAAGGAGTTTTTGAAAAGATGTTTCCAGATCTTGTCCCAGCCCATGACATCGGTAACTATAGTTTCTGTCATGGATCTCTGCTTTGATTATGCCCCCTCCAGAATTTAGCAGTGCACATGTAGCTTTGATGATATTAGAATTCTCAATTCTTTTCAAACAGATATTGGTCATTGTCTTCCTGTTTTCTTCTCCAAGAGTGACTGTGCCCACTTTAACAATTATTTCGGGATAAAGTACTTCCATATCAGACTTGGGCCTTTCCATCTTGGCTGTGCTCCTGCATATCAAACAGCAGAAACGGGGCTAATAAATAACCAAAAGAGACAGTTGCTTCTGCATAAACAAGAATGCCAGCCATTATAAGATTTTCTTAAAATATGTAAACTATTGGAGCTACATTTTAGCATTGAAAACAAAGAGTCTTTGCTATCACTGTTTTCTAACAACTCTTAGCAAGATCCTTGGCCTTTCAAATATACACAGGCATAGAGAAGGTGGAAAGTTTAATATTTTGCTATAAAGAAAATTTTTATTGCCGAAAATTTTAGACATTTTTTAAAATTTAAAATCATGAAGCACCAACAATGAGCCTAGATATAAAGGGTGTGGTTTGGCAACAGAAGCAAAGTAGCTTATTAGAGATATGCTGAAGTAGAAGTTGCAGTTAGAAAATGTTCTGATTTCTAGTTCAAGGGTAATAAAGGAAGGCAATGCAGTATATCACATATACTCCAAAATTATATTCTTTGGCATATATGTGATATAGCATATCTGGCTATAAAAAGATAAAATGCGATGTTATTTATGTACTATTATATGCATTTTTAAAAAGCTTTAGTCTGTTTATGTAATAATGTCAATTGATATCAAACACAACATTTTTGTTTTTGGTTTTTCATTCTTCCAAATTCTAAAGTACATTTCTTCATAAACAATGTGGTATCAGAGTCAAATTGTCCTTCCCACCTAACTGCTCTGTCCTAGGCTTTGGAACCCTCTAGGACCTACAAAAGGACTTGAACCTTTGGGACACAGTCATTAAATTATAGTAAATTTCTTGTTGTTGTGCAGACCAGAGAACAGCCACTTAAATAATAAAAAAATGGTGTTCTGAGCCAAAATTTAGGAATTTTTTTCTTTTTTTTTTGCTTTTTGGGTCACACCTGGTAATGCACAGGAGTTACTCCTGGCTCTGCACACAAGAGTTACTCCCAGTGGTGCTCAGGGGATCATATGGGATGCTGGCAATCAAACCCGGGTCGGCCGCGTGCAAGGCAGACGCCCTACCTGCTGTGCTATCTCTCCAGCCCCCCAAATTTAGGAAATTATCCCTTACCTTCTGTTAACTGAAAAATAAAATATTTACTAACCCAAGACAACAGTCTTCTTTTAGATGAGAGAACCTGTTTATTCTATGTGATCTTTGCAAAGCAGAAACCGTGAGTTTGTTGCTTACACTACTGAGGGGTATTGGGGGGAAACACCAGCCTCCAGAATATGTACTTTCCTCTCACATTAGTTTGCTTTAGTAGCAGTTCCATGTCCTCCAAATAGATTATAAACCACCTAATGAATTTATTTTTCACATCTAAGCATCTTCTATTGGTAAATTTAAATATATGGTTCCTTAGGGAAACTTCAAATAACATTTTATTCATATCAAACAATCCTACAATATTTCTGGTTAACCATCTATCATAATCTAAAATCCCCTCTTTAATTTCTCACAAATTTCTTTTCAGAAATTGGTTGACCACCTCCAACAATACATAACGCAAAGCCTTCCAAACCATTCTCTCATCCAACAACTCTGTTAGAAATGGTTTCCTTGTTACCACCTGCAGTTTTCTCCTTCAAATTGTCATCTGCTGGATCCCACTGAACAAATCAAATTACTTTGGAACTGCCACCTATAAGCTCATGCCACCAGGTCTTCTTGATACTACTTTTTTCGATGCAGATAACAACTTGAGAGACACAAAGTTTTCGAATAATCTGGCTTTATATCCTATCTATTCATCACACAATTCTCCCTCATTTTTCTTCTAAGTTTTTTCTTAGCTACTATTTTATTAAAGTTTTTCATACCTTCAGACATAAACTGTATCTAGGATAGATGAGATTAATTTTTTTCTTTTTTTTTTTTACCTGATGCTCTTGCTTTTTTCCCTCTTGCTCTTTCAGTCCCACATCTGGCTCCGGTTGGATGTCCGAATGTTTGTCTTCTGTCACAGGCCCTGCTACCCTTTGATATCAGAGGGGGAGGAGCAGGAACTCTGCCAGGCTCCATTAGTCTTCACAACATTGACCCACTGAGGAAAGCTGATAAGGACTCAAGAAAAGCCTATGACTGGGCAGATTAGCAGACTAGGGACCTCTAACAGTGAATGAGGTAGGAAAAAGGGGAAACTCAGAGGCTTCCAGGTGAGGGATGAAAGCTTAAGTTCTTATGTCTAAAAGACTGAATCATACATTGCACAAACACCACCCCTTCTGATTAATTTTGAAGTTATACATTTATTTTTTTAAAAGCTGTCTGTATATTTCCATCACTAAACCATTCTGTTACTTTCCAAAGTAAATGTATTATTTAGTTTATTTTTCTAGTTCCCCTGTTGGACACACAACTCAACCTAAAAAAATTCTCATACCTGGGTGAAGGGATTGCTGTGAATTAATTAATTTTTTTCACTTTTTTTTCCTTTTGAGCCATATCCATTGGTACTCAGGACTTATTCTTGGCTCTGTGCTCAGGGATCATTTCTGAAAGGACTTGGAACATCACGTGTGCTGTTGGAGCTCAAACCTGGGTCAGTTATATGCCAGGTAAGCACCTTACCTGCTGTACTATCTCTCTGGATCCTTATTTATTTATATTTTTGTTTCTTTGTTTGGTTGAGATTTGGATTTTGAACCACAGCCACTGGTGCTTGAGCATCACTGCCAGAGCTGCTCAGGGAACCATGCAGTGCCAGGGGTCCAGCCTGAGACTCCTGCATGCAGAGCATACATTTATGCTTTGAATTTCCTCTCATGCACCTTATCTAATTTCTTTTCCTTTTTTACTGTAGCTTTCTCTTATTTTCTAAGTGGTTCTATAATAAAAATAAATGTTAATGCTTATTTTAATCATCACTGTCACTATCACTGTCTTCCCGTTGTTCATCGATTTGCTCAAGCGGGCCTAGTAACATTGTGAGACTTGTTGTTACTGTGTTTGGTATATCGAATACATCACGGGGTATTGCCAGGCTTTGCTGTGCAGGCGAGATACTCTTGGTAGCTTGCAGGCTCTCCGAGGGGCGGAGGAATCAAACTCAGGTCAACCTGGTCCGCCGTGTGCAAGGCAAAGCAATTAAATGGAAAAATATTTGCAAGCTAATTATCTCACTTAGGGATTATGGTTATACTAGGCTTTTATTTTTCTTAAAAATAAGACTCATGGGGCTGGAGAGACAGCACAGCGGGTAGAGCGTTTACCTTGCACGCGGCCAATCCGGGTTCGACTCCCAGCATCCCGTATGGTCCCCTGAGCACCGCCAGGAGTAACTCCTGACTGCAGAGCCAGGAGTAACCCCTGTACATTGCCAGGTACATTGCCAGCAAAAAAAAAAAAAAAAATTAAATTAAATTAAAAAAATAAGACTCATGGGACTGGAGATATTAGAGGTACGGTGATTGCTTTGCACACTGCCGACCTGAGTTCAATCCCCAGTACCCTATATGGCCCCTGAGCACTACTATAAATAATTCAGGAGTGCAGAACCAGTAATAACCCCTGAACATTACTGGGTGTGGGCCACAATTTCTTTTTTTTTTTATTTTAAAGCAACCACATTTAGCAGTGTTCTATCTGTTATTATTTATTTATTTATTATTGCTTTTTGGGTCACACCCAGCGATACACAGGAGTTACTCCTGGCTCTGAGCTCAGGAATCACCCCTGGCGGTGCTCAGGGGACCATATGGGATGCTGGGAATTGAACCTGGGTTGGCTGCATGTAAGGCAAACGCCCTACCCGCTGTGCTATTGCTCCAGCCCCTATCTGTTATTATTTAGAGCATGCAGCATGTTGAAATTCTAGCTCTGGCACTTTCTAATTTTTGAGACCTTGATTAAGCTCATCTAAACTTCGGATTTCATCTGTGTAATAGGGAGATATAATAGGGCCTTCTAGGCTCTTATGAAAGAAATTCCATGACCAACTTAAGGTGGTTCCTAGCATATATTGTCAAATCTCATTCAGTAATGAAATAGTAAGCACCTTTCATATCCTGAATGTGATTTTATGCACTAAAGATATGCATTAGAATTAAAATATCCCGTTAATGTCTGCCTTTTTATGATTGATCAGCTGTTTAATTTTATTGTTCTCAAATTGTCCTCATAACTCCTTATAGGAGATGCATTATTTTGTCACCTTATAAATGAAGACTGCATGCAGAGAAATGCCTTTTCACTCCTAGTAAGTAGCAGAGCTAGGATGTTAATCCATGTATCTGATTCTAAAACACACGTATTCTCATTCTGGCAACCAATCTTACTTTTAACCAGAAGACTAATGCACACAAGTTGCATTCACAAGCTTTCAAAATATGTATTGAACGGCTCATTCCAATACAACACAAACAGTATTATCTTGTGAGCACTCCATGTATTAAGTACTGTTCTCATTTAATTCTCATAGCTGCTCTGTGAGGTAGGTGCTGTTATATAATTATTTAATTATTTTCTTTTGCAGATGGGGAAACTGAAAAACAGTTTATGTGATTGCAGATTTTAGGTCGGATGCATGTCACTCCAGTGCTACTTGGAGAGACATCAGTGTATATGCAGTGAGTTCTGGGTTTTCTGAGAGTGACGGTAACTGTGTCTGTGATGATAAAATTTCACAAATGAGATAGTATATGACAAGAAACCTACAAGTAAGAATGTAGCAGGGTGAGGAAAGATGATGATAAAGGAGCAAATCAGGCAGAGCAAATAACCTATGTAAAGGCACATTCTCTTCATTGTCTAACCTCTGCTGTTCTTAAAGTACAGCAGAGAGAGGCTAAACAGATTGTACAGGAGGTAAAGTGGCTTGCTTTGCATGCAGTCAACCTTTTTGATACCTGGCATCCATGCAAGTCCCTATGTCTCTCCAGCACCACCATGGATAACCCTTGAGATCCTTGATAGGTATGGTAGAAAACATTACATTTTCCGCCATGTTTTTGTCTATTCCCTTTATTTGTTCATGTCATATCTATTCATGACATCCATTGCACTCTACCTTTTATAAACCAGTTCTCCATATACACTTCCTTCTCACCTGGACCATTGCAATAGTTTGCAATGACTTTTCTGCAATTACTCTCCCTTCCTTAATTTATTAAAAAATGCACCTTAAAAATAGTTTTTGAAAGTACTATTCTGATCACCTATCTCCCCAGGATCTGAAATTATTACACTCTCCAAATAGCTAGCCACCATTATCAAAGCATTAGCCGGTCTTACAAATACACTCCTCCACCCCAGTTCCTTCCAGAATGTGTTAGATATTCTTAGAACTCAAATCCTAGAATAAGTCTGGATTGTGCTTCAGGCATTTTCGGGTTTTGTTACTTGTTTTTGATGCTGGAGGATATCTAGATTATAACGTCTCCATCTTGCAGAATTTTGAGATATGCTATACCCTTTTCAACTTTGCCCAAATTTGGTTAGGTCCTCAGTCAGAAATTAAATTATTCCTTCTTCCAGAATTTCTCAAATTCCTCCTAGCTTTCCACACCCAAACCAAAGATCACCTCTGCCTGAAATTCGTTCCTGTTTCTCTTTTGCACTTCTTTGTTATTTAGCTACACTCTAAAGGGTTTATTAATCTGAATCTGAGTAAGGGTAAAGGTTTATTAATCTGAATCTGAGTAGTTCTTCCCGGAAAGCCAAGGCGCCCACATTCTAGGATCCCCTCCTTCCTCAGATGCCCTTATCCAGTGTGTGAAACGAGGATTACAGTCGTCCTGCCATCAAGAGAAAGCCACGGAGACAGCTGGAGGTGCGAGAAACAAAAACCTAGAACTCTTATAAACCAAGAACAGAACCCTGAGCTTTGGAGCCCGCCCCATAGTAGAGACTGACACGTCGCTATTAGTTTCCCGCCTCTTTCTCGCTTTCATTGGCCAATTCTTGCCCAAGTCCCGCCTTAGGCCTGCGACCCACGTGATGCCCTGGCTACCCGGGGATTGGTTGTTCGGCGAGGGCCGCAATGGGCGTTGGGACGGCCGAAGGGCCGCGAGGAGACCGGGAATTGGAAGCTGGCGAGGATGTCGCTGGGGACCAAAGAGACGCGGGTATCTTCCTCCGCTGGTCCGGGCAGGCCTTAGGAGAGGCAGGGCAGTGGAGTTTTTGCAATGACTGAGGACTCGTGCCTGTGCCTTTGGTTTGAACGCGGGCTCGGGCCTTCCTCGTGTGCTTCCCCTGCAGGATGGCTTCTCGCAGGCTTTCCTGAAGCCGCTGGGTCCCGACCTTGCCCTTAGCGTTTTTAAGGGTCCATCGGGTTGGTTTTGGGTCGTGCAGAGCTGTACGAGGTAGAAGCTGGGGGATGAGGGGGCTTGAGATGCTCGAGGCATGTTCGGACCTTAGTGAAACCTTGGAGGTAAGTGGGTTTGTATCTTGCGTTGCTGCTTTCTAATAACGTCGTTTAGGGATTAGGATGGCGCTCGCTTGTTAAAATAAATGCTCATTTATTTACCTCGTTTTGTGTAACAGCCACTATTTTTGCGTGCAGTGCATGTAAAAAAAAAAAAAAGAAAAGAAAAGAAAGAAAGATAAAAAAAAAAAAGGCAGATCCTGGGACTGGAGAGAGAGGATAGAGGGTATGCATGCAGCCGACCTAGATTCTATCCCAAGCACCCCATATATCCTGAGTGCAGAGCCAGGAGTAACCTCTGAGCATGGCCGGGTGTGGCCCAACCACCACCACCACCAGGCCCTCCAAATTAAAAAAAAAAAAAAAGCAAAAACAAAATAAAAGACAGACCCTTCTCTCTGTGATGGGTCTGATTGGGCGGGGTGGGATCTGGGGGGTGAATGAGGGGCGGGGGACGGGGACATGCCATGGTGGGGGAAAAGTGCTGTGGAAGTTAGGGGAGGAGACGACTGAAGAAGTTAGAGACCATTTAATAGAGAAAATGACTTTTAAGTAAAGTTTGCAGTAAGACCGTGCAGGTGAAACAAAGTGGATGTGGAAGAGAATTGGGAAGGCTTGTGGATGGCTGGAGCACATGGGGGTTTGTGTCAGGATGAAGATGAAGATGGTAGAGGTTAGACTTTTTTTTTTTTTTAGGTTAGACTTTTAAGGACCTTGAATTCTGTGATGTCTGAATCCTAAGATGAAAAGTGAAATAGATGCTATTGTGTTGCACAGTTGAGGAAGGATAGATACTGCTTTTTGGATTGACAGTGAAAGAATCATGCAGAAAGGCCACAAAAGTAGAGAGGTAGGATTGAAGTACAGAAAGGTTTTCTATGAAGAGGAAGGATTTTCTAGATAGGGGGTACAAAGCTCCAGTAGCAGATTTGAAGACTCATAGTCTGGGTTGGTGTTGAAGATAAACGGGTTTAATTTTAAAGTTTGGATTTTGAGAGAGGGTTCCCCCAGGCTGCAGGCCAAAATGAACCCTGTATGCCGAGGAAGTGATCCAGCCCTTTGCGCTGTCCCCCAGCCCCAGATTGGACTTCTATTTCCTACCCAGAGTGAGCAGTTAAATGCTCTCATATGAAATAAACACATCTCCATATTTTAAGGATGTGTGTGTGTGTGATATTCAGAGTATGTTAATTGGAGAGAAACTAGAGGCAGAACATTCAGCATTTGGTAGCAGGAACATAGACTTTAAGAAGTTTGCCAGTTCTTAAAGTTTTGTTGGAATAGGTAATATAAAGTAAATTTGTTATGTGCCAAAGCGGGCAGGTTGGGATTGGGAGGGAAACTGGGGATATTGGTGGAGGGCTGGTCACATTGGTGGTGTTGGAATACTAAATGCTTAAAACAACTACTTAATGGGGGAGTGGGAGGGCTATTGGATTCATTGGTGGTGGAGAATGGGCACTGGTGGAGGGATATGTACTTGATCATTGTATAACTGAAACCCAAGCATGAAAGATTGTAAGTCTACAACTGTACCTCATGGTGTTTCACTAAAAAAAAAAAGATGGAAAACTCCAACCCTAATAAAGCAATTACTACATTAAATATAATATTCTAAAAAAACTATATAATGAACAATATTGTAAATTTTTTACAAATCTTGTAAATTTTATAACATTTTTAATAAAAATTTAAAAAACAGCCCTTTTTGGTTCAGAACTTGACTCTCTCACCACTTCAATGATTTTAGACAGTTATTTAAGCTCTCTCAGCCCATTTATTCATAGATATTAAATATTTTACAAGTAGAGGATTATGAAATAAAGTCTCTGATGATCAGATTGCCCCTGTAAATAAGGCATCTGAATTTCCCTTATTTTATGGAATATAGTTGCTGAATGATCAAGACAGCTCAACAGTTATCAATGTTTAACTATGTGCTATGAAACTTAGTATTTACAAATGGCTAAAGGAAGCTTGTGGGGGCACCAGAGTTTAGATTGTGATCCTAGCACTTTTCCATGTCAGATAATATACCACCAGAAGGTATCATTGTCAAAAAATGAAATATAGTCAGCTTTCTCATTTAGAAATTTACTAATCAGGGTCTGTCTCACATTTGTGAGGCCTTGGGTTCAGTCACTGTCATCTCTGGAGAGGGATCAGGAGAAACTGATAATCCAGGTTAGCCTGAAAATAAAATTAAACCTTTTATTATATTTGGCAGGTAGTAAGAAGATATGTTTGATTCTTAGACCTCAGTTCTCTCTAGCTCTGCTGGGCTTTGTTTTACATTTGGCAAATTAATAGCCATTCTAGATCTTGATTCAAAATATAAGATTCTGGTATAAAATTTAACTTTTGGGGTCCAGAGAGAGTACAGCAGGTAAGGGACTTGCCTTTGCACACAGCCTTCCTACGTTCAATCCCTGGCACTCCATATGGTCCTTGAGCACTGCCAGGAATGATCCCTGAGCACAGAGCCAGGAGTTACCCAGGAGCATAACCATGTATGACTCAAAAAACAAACAAAAAATCTTTTAAAAATCTCTTTGGCTTTGTTGGCAGCAGAGTGTAAGTAAATTGTATATTAAATAAATTGGAATTTTCCTTGTAAAGGAATTGTTTTTCTTTTTTGGGTCACACCTGGAGATGCACAGCGGTTACTCCTGGCTCTGCACTCAGGAGTTACTCCTGGCAATGCTCAGGGGACCATATGGGATGCTGGGAATCGAACCCGGGTCAGCCACGTGCAAGGCAAATGCCCTACCCTCCGTGCTATCTCTCCAGCCCCTGTAAAGGAATTTTTTTTTTCTAAATCTTTGACTTTAGAATTAGACTATAAATATTTTCACAACATCCTTAATATTTCAAAATGTATGTTTTAGGTCTTTTTTTTTTTTTTATCTCCATGAGTAAACTTATATTTTCTTGGATGGGAAAGTAGGTTGTTGGTGAAATGTCATGATGCAATGATGAGTGAAGTATAGTCTGACCTGGTATTGCCATCATTTCAGTGTTGGCTCTGACCAGGGTATGATTCTTTAATCTTCTCTCTGAGCTGATTCAGATTCCTAAGGGAAATTGGTTTCATTGTGCTGAGTCCTTCTTTGGTATTGTTTTGAATTACTGATACTTTCCTCTTTTTTTCTTCCTTAGGTTGAGGGACCATATTTCACTGCATAATTGTTGGGCACCGCATAATCGTCACACCATTTTGTTCAGTCCCAAATTTGGTTAATAGCCTTTCATCATGAAGCCATCACATGGTATCATTCTGATCATCATGCTACTTATAAGGTAAACAGCTGTAATGTATTGACCAATGGCGTACGGGTATGTATCTTCTTATACAATGTGAGCCATGAGCCTAGATTTCTCAGCACCCACAGTCATATTTCCGGAAACCATTTTGTATGGTTTGTATTGTAGCCCTGCAATACTAATGATACTGTCACTCAACCCACAGAAGACCCTTAGGCCCGGGGGAGCCCATGGGCAGGCAAAGCTGCTATGAAAAAATCATGTGCTTGGGCAAGGCATGCATCTTTCCACGCTAGCTAAATTTATATGATTCACTGCAGTCATACAGTAACATGCATAGAGTAGTAGTCCTGATATTGGGTAAACAAAAACTATTTTGCAAGCTTTAAGGTAAAAGTGATTATGTTCGCTGAACAGTGTAAGAACAGAGCTGTGGAAAGAATGTTCTCAGTGAATGAAAAGTTGGTGTGAGACTGGAGGAAACTAAAAGACAAACTGAAAAACACAACCTTTTCTAGATGCGCCTTTGGAAGTCCTAAGACAGGCAAGTTTCCCAAAATTGAAGAGGTGTTTGTGTTTCTCAGTGAAGTGTGGAATGGTGGTTGCATTATATTCTATGAGATGTTGCAAATGAAGGCACAGGAGGTTGCGCTCAAACATTCTTCTCAGTTTAAGGCAAGCCATGACTGGGTTATGAGGTTCATGTGATGGTGCGATTTGTCTGCAAAGGAAAATATGACAGTGTGTCAAAAGATGCCAGCTGATTACAGTGAAAAGATTCTAAGCTTCTATCAATTAATCTTGCGTATGCACCAGGAAGCTTCCTATTTACTTTCACAAATTGGTAATGCTGGACTCCAGTATTTTTCATTATGCCTGGTACAATGGTATTAAAAGGATCATCGAGTGTATCTATGAAAACCAGTGGTAATGATATATTAGTATATAGTTAGGCTTGCTGTTACAGCCCATGGAAGTAGTTACCAGCTTATGTGATTCTTAAGAGGAAAATAATGCAGAAAGGAACACAGTTTCCCCTAGGAATTCATGTCTTGAGTGCAAACAAATGGTTGGATGGACTTGGAACTCATGGTGGACTAGATTAAAACTGTATGGATCAGAAGACCAGATGCACTACTGAAAGAACTGGCCTTTATTTTACCAGTTTTCAAGGTCACATCATGAACAAAATAAAGCAACTTCTCCATGAAAATAGGACACTTCCAGTAACCTAACATCTATCAGCCACTGAATACAGGTGTAAATAAGCCCTTTGAAGATCATCTCCATTGTTTCTGCAGTGAGTGGATGAGCAGTGATGAACACCTGTTGACACCAGCTGGAAAGATTAAGCATCCGTCCTTGGAACTACAATGCACACGAGTAATTGAGAGTTGGGACCTTATACCACACAAAGCAACCATCAAAAGCTTAAAAAAACATAGGAATTTCAAATGCACTAGATAGATCTCACTGTGGCAGAGTGAGGAAATAAACTTATGAGTGGTGATGAGGACTGCCTGTGAGGTAATGAAACCAGTGATAGTACAGAATCTTGAGACACACATTAGATTTTGCAAATCAGTACTTCGCAATACTGTAATAAATGTTCTTGTGTAATATTTTGACTAATGCACAAATGCAAATATGTTGACTTAATTTTTGGGCAGATTGTAAAAAGTCTTCACTAAATTCTCAGGAAGAAATGATGTGCATTGATTTGTACTATTTTAATGTATATTCATGAGTATTCCATGCATTCTTTCACCAAAGACAGTTAAATATTTTAAATAATACAGGCATACTTACGCAGTCCCACTTTTTTTTGCAAGAAAAAACTTGGCATGAAGTCTGTGACAATTATGTGGTGAGATTATGTAGTGAAACACAGCAAACAATCTGGTTTTGGTTACTTCACAAAGTGCTCCATCATGTCAATCTTCAATCTGTTCAAGTCCCTTATTACTACTATATTAAAATTTCTTAACTGTAGTATTTATTGTAGTAAAAAATCTCAAGGTTCGACAAACATTATTACAACTGTTCTAATATACTTCAAAGTGTTAATATTTTTAAATCCCTAGGATTTTCCATTTTTAAATATAATTTTAACCTATCAGAATGTGCTATGAATTGCTAAATTTAAGCCCTGAGAAACAGACACTTATGAATTGTTTTTATCCTTTACTGATTTTTTTTTCTAAATACTGTTTTCACAATTCTGCTAATTTAGTAGCATGAATTTTCCTACATAGGCAATTCAAGTGTTTCTGTAGTTTAGTTTTGTTTGGTAGGGGGCACACCCAGCAATGCTTAGGGCTTGCTCCTGGCAGGCTTGGGTACCATAAGGATGCCAGGGATAGAACCCAGGTCAGCTGATGCCATATAAGTGTCCCACTTGCTGTACTATTTCTCCAGTACATCTGTTGTATTTCTGATACTAGGAGTTTCACACAAAGCTAAATTCTTAACCATTGAGTATCAAGTTTCTCCCCTTAACTACCAATTTTGGGGGTAGGGAGGAAACAGTTTCATACAAAAAATAGTTCCAAGTCAAAAGTAATCTAAATGAATGATGTAAACACGTCTAGTAATCTTTGTTTCCGTATAATCATGACAGCATAGAATAGCTCATTGACAAAAAGATTTATTCTTAAAATGTTTCATAGAAACTTTGGTAACAGCCAGAATAAATTCATACCAGTTCAGCAAACGAATTGTATGCAGAACAAATGTATTATTCTCTTTGTTTTTGGGCCATCCCCAGCAACGATCAGGGGTTATTCCTGGCTCTGCACTCAGGAATTACTCTTGGCAGTGCTTAGGGGATTATATGGGATGTTGAGGGTCAAACCCAAGTTAGCTTTGAGCAAGGCAAATTCCCTACCTGCTGTTCTATCACTCCAGCCCACTTACTGAAATACTAGTTTCTTTCTTTAAATATTCCTAAGATTCTTTTTTTTACAGTTATTAGATCAGTATTTCATCTCTTCATTGCTTATTATGTTTGCTTTCACATTGAAATCTTCAGACAACTATATAAACAAATACTCAACCTGTTTCCCTTTAATCAGTTTCAAAAACATATATGGCTCATAGAGAAATCTTTAAAACACTGATAAGTTACAGAAGATGTTAACAAACAGGTCACAGTAGATTGAAAGAGCAATTATTTTTCTAAAGTATTACTATAGAGCAGGTCCACATTTTCACATTGTAAACTGATCAAATCTCTGTCAGAATAAAACCTGTCAGAGGCAGATTAAAGAGAAGGCCAGAGCTCCCTTCCCCGTCCCACTTTGAGGTTTAACTTGTGTTTTTCCTGAGAGCCACTTGTACCACTTGATTTTTTTTTTTAAGGGAGGAGGACAGGGTAGAAGGGCAGGACACTTGTAGGGTGCAGGGAATTTTGTTGTGCAACCGGGATCCAAACCAGGTCAGCTGCATGCAAGGCAAGCACCTTAACTAGCTCTCCAGCCCTGTCCTTATTCTGTAAGGAAAAGGATAGGATATCCTTCTATACTAATCAATCTTTTCACCTGCACTTACTCTACACTAACTGGCATTTTCCCTTCAGTCTTGATTCTCCTACCCTAACCGGTCTGGCCAGCAATAAGTAGAGGTCTAGACAGCAGGGTGAAAGGTTAAGATCAACAGATATATCCTTTTTTAAAAAATAGTATGGTTAACACTTGCATAATTATGAATTGAGGCTGAGATATACCAAATTGCTACATATCATGCCAAAAGTTAGCCCTGTGACCTTATGGTGTTGTGGATTAAGACAGTAATCCCTTTCAGTTGTCAGGGGAGTACAGCTTAATTAGATGCTGTATTTCTGTTGGATAACCTGTGATGGGACAAGCTTGGTGACTCCTCACATAATTAAATACACAGCGGTAACAAAACACGTAGCCAGAGGTGGCAAGAACAGTGTCGTTCACCCGGGTCTTACGACACAGTGGGCAGACAGTCTTCAACTTGGGTAACAGAGGGGAATCAGAATTGTAGTCTAAGTGTACAGGTGGCGGGGGGGTAGGCAGAGCAGTCAGCGACTTGATGGTGTCTTGGTTTTCAGAGGAGTACCACCATTCAAGGAACTGCAGGAAGAAGACACCCACAGACAGGCCTGACGAGAGGGACAAGGCAACACCCCCCACAGCTTTCTTCAGCGCAGATGTTATCTTCTCTCTAACACTGTTGGCAGAACACAAGGAGGGAAAGAAGAAACTTGATTTAGGTGTCATCACAGGTGCATTACATATGATATAAATTCACTCTTTGTTTGTTTTGGGGCCACACCCAGCAGTGCTAACTCCTGGCTCTGCACTCAGGTCACTCCTGGTGGGCTTATGAAACCATATGTGGTGTCGGGGTTCGAACCTGGGGTTGGCTGCACGCCGGACAAGCTCTCTACCAGTTTTATTATCTCTCCCAACCCATAAATGCACTTCTTACACTTTCCACCAATATCACTGCTCAGTGTGGGAACTTGAGTAGCTGCTAACTTGGTGACCCCTTAAAGATCTAGGCTAAATTATTCTGACTTCACTTTATATTTTAGGAGTATGAAAGTTCAAATTTTTCAGGGGGTAGAAATGTCTTCTATACAACTTGATCCCAGGCATCCTGGAGGGCAGACATAGCCTTCCAAAATTAAAATTTTGTTACTTGGGAAGGGGGTAAATCCAGTGGTAACTGAATGCACTAAACTATTCCCTGTAGTACTGGGGTGGCAATACAACATAGGGGTGCTAGGGATCCAACCCAGAGGCTCCCAAATCTGGCACTAGGAATTCAGCTTTTTTGGGGGGGTGCTGGGGAGAAGAGGGGGTTAGGCCACACCCTGTAGTGCTCAAGTGATATTCCTGGCCCTCTGCCCCAGGGGTTTCCCCTGGCAATTCTGGGGAACAAACACAGTGCCAAGGATGTAACTGAGGCTAGCTGCACGCAAGAACTGTGCCTTAACCTTTGTACTATCTTTCTGATTCCTAGGAGTTCCAGGTTTTGTTTTGCTATTTAATAAGGTGTTGATTATATAAGTTTTCTTTTTTTTTTTTTTGCAGGGGGAACGTTACATCTAGAAAAATTCATATAAAATTCACTTAAAATTCAATTAAAATACACTTAAAAATAACTCAGCAACAAAATGAGAATACAAACACCAAGTAGAAATGATATCACTGTGACAAACAACAATCTAGAATTGTATTGATTGAGTCTGAATCTTAATTCTGCCAGCTTCTGGGTGGTGTTGGGAAGGTATTTAAGCCGTGAGGACAATTTCCTTGACTATTAAATGGGGCTAATGCATTTATTTAACTCATTAGGTTGTGATGAGTATTGAGATATATTCAAAGACAGCACCCAGCGCAGGGCCTGGCACAAAGCATGTGTGCACAAAAACGTAGCTAGTTTGGTGAGGAATGTTACTGGGTGGCAATCTTTGTTGATGGATAGAATTTTTTCTATCATGTTATGGAGTACCTACAAGGGGCGAGGGAGATGGATTTTGTAAATATGGGCCAAGATTTTAGAGATTTAAAAATCGAGTTTAGGGCAATGGAAAGGCCTTACCTCCTGGGTGGCTGCCGCATCTTGTGGGCTGCTGCTGCTCTGTGCTCCAGGGCTTGGATGTCCTGAACTGTAAGCCGGCCGAGCCGCACTCCAGCCAGACTCAGCAGTGGAGAGTGTTGCTGAGACTTTCCCAGGATATAGCGAAGTTGCTGCACAAGAAACCAGCCTTCCCAGGCCATGTTAACGAAGGGATAGGCTGCCAGGAAGGCTCTATGAAATTGTTTCCAGCGGGAAGAAGGGGGATGGATCGAATATTCATCCTCTTCTCGCAGGCTAGACACCAGCTTCTCCAGCTTTACTTTCAGATACGGAAGAAGAACCAGGAACATAATTGACTTCCAAAGCTGCTTCTTTGGGAGACCAGCACTGGCCAGTCTCTGGGACCCATGTGTGTCCCTCATTACAATTCGCTTTAAGCCATAAAAGTTTTCTGAAAACGAGGCACTGGTTTTAGACAGATAATGCTGCTGGAGCAGAAGATCTAGCACGGTAAAGATTTCATCAAACCACCTCCATAAGAAGCCATAAAGGGCAGGATTTGATTCTGCCAGAACCTAAAGCAAAATAAATCAGTATGAAATCCACCCCATTGCACCACTGTGTCTTGTATTTAATACCTCCACCCCCACTCAATTCCACAAGTTGGGATTTCACAAATTGCTTCTTTTGGGTTCACTTCAGTGGGGCTGGAGAGGCATTTCTAAGGGTTGGAGCGAGTTTTTAATTCAAGAGTCAAAGGTTAGATCCTACCAAAGTATGATCCCCTCAAGACCACAGGGAGACTACCCACCCTCCGCCCTCCACTGGGTTTGTAAAAAAAAAATACAATAAATTTTGTAAATAAAAAAATACAGTACATTTTGTAAATAAAAAATACAATAAAAAAATTTTTAAGAGTCTCTTTCATCATTTTTTTTTTCATTTCATCATCCTGTTATTCGTCGATTGCCTCGAGCAGGCCCCAGTAACGTCTCTTTCATCCTAACCCTGAGATTATATTCAAGGCTCTTTAGGAGAATGAGACCCATCATTGTTACTGGTATTTGGCATATTTGGTACGCCACGGGGAGTTTGCCAGACTCTGCCCTGTGGGCAGGCTACATTCGATAGCCTGCATGGAGTCCCTTAAGTGCTGGGTATTCATTTAGTATAACAGGACACGTAACAGCTAGCTAAATCATAAAGGTGCGAATTTTGTGCCTACCGGTTATTTCTAAGCCTCCGCTGGCCTCCAGATAGACTCAAGTTTATGGGCTTGGGGTTTCTAGAAACCTGGCGGAGCGTCAGTGCCTTACCTTGACCACATGCTGGAGAGCTGGTCTCACCGCTGTCATCAGACTGTCCTGCGCTACCACCTCGAAGATGGACGGCTGGTCGTCCAGCACAGCGGCCGTTGTGATGTGCGCCCCGTGCTCGGCCATCGCTTTGCCGGTGCACCACCTCCCGCTCTGTCCACAGACTGTGCAGCAAGCATGAACTTGCCTGGAGTCTGAGGGGACCCGGTCTCAGTGCAAGGGACTTTCTGCGGGACACCGGGAAATGCTGCCAACTTGACGGGAAAGGCGGGGGGTGGGGCGTGGGGCGGGGTGAGGTTAACGACCGCCTCTGGTGTGAAGGGGGCGGGTTGGAGGGGGGTCTCGCGTCAAAGCCCAGCGCGCAGTGAACGCAGACGTGGGTGCGGGCGGTGTGGAGGGCGTGCCGATGTGTCAAAACAAAACAAAAAAAGCTGCTCCGCACTGGGCCGAATGTGACCGCCGAGTCCGGGCTGCGCACAGGCGCGCCCCGCGCCGCAGAGCCGAGGCTGGGAATCCGGGTGTCTCAAGCGTGGGGGGCCCAACCGCGCCGGCTGCGGGGTCCCGGGGACCAGTGCGGCCCGGTTCGCAAACGCAGGCCCCGGCCGCGGGTCGTGACGTCTCCCCGGCTGCGCGCGGACCCCCGGCGCCGAGCAGCCCACCGCGCCGCGAGAGGAGGGCGATCCCGGCGCCGGCAGGGGAGCCGCCGCCGGAAATAGCAGCGCCCGGGCCTCGGGAAGCAGCCGCACAGGTGAGCCGCTCGAGCGCCCCCGCGGCCCGGAAACCGGAACTGGCGGCTCTCGGCGCCCTCGGCCACTTCCGCTTCCGCCCCCGCGGAAATTGAAAGCGGCCTTTGGCAGACGCTCCTCCACGGGTCTGTCTTTCTCGGCTGGTGGTCGCACACCCGGGAGAAAGGCGCAGCAGCCACTCTCTCCGCAGAAGTATTTTTTTGCAAAGGATCTGGAGCGCCGAGAGCTTCCGTGTCTGGGCGGTGGAGTGACCCAGGGAATGATTAACTAGGCGACCCGAAGAGTGGGCAGGGTCGGAGATGTAGGTTCATTTATATTTTATTAATGTCGCCAGTGATAAAGATGACTGAAAGGAGAAGGGTTCAAGTTTGCCTCGGAATTTAGGACGATTTTTTTTTTTTTCAAATCAAAACTGGAAGCTCACTTACCTTCTTAGGGTTGGTGATTGGTGCTAGTCAAGCATAACTCACACAGGGCGGGGTGCATTTCATTAGCGATATGGTTTTTTGGGTTTGTTACAGGAAGATATAGATAGAGGGTCCCAGGCAGTGTACTTTCGGGGAAATAATTAAACTTAAATACAAATCCCGAGCTCTTTTCAGGGGAAACACTGAGGCACCACTCAGATGCAGAAATCCAGGTTTCTATCCTGAGAAAGGTGGATCCCACAGAAAAGGAAACTATAGAAGAATCTAGGATATTATGGGGGAAAGAGGGGAACAGTAGAAAGACTGATATTTTGAGAAGACTATCGACAATGCAGGTCAAGGGCCGGAGCAATAGCACAGCGAATAGGGCGGTTACCTTGCACGAGGCTCACCCGGGTCTGATCAGAAGCATCCCGTATGGTCCCGGGAGCATCGCCACGAGTAATTCCTGAGTGCAGAGGAGCCAGGAGTAATCCCTGAGCATCACCGAGTATGAACCAAAAAGCCAAAAAAAAAAAAAAAAACCCAAAACAACGACTCAATGAAACAATGCAAGTCTTTTCCATGACAGTGCTTGGATTAATCTCTATGTATGTATGCAGAGAACTCGAGGAAAATACTTTTTTGGGGAATTGTATAAAACTTCCTCCCAAAAGTCATTCTGGACTTGCTCTTCAAGCTCCTATTTTCCCTCGAATACATACCTCACTTGCTTGTCTCTCTGCCTTTTCCACTCTGGAGAAGCCTTCTCTCTTAAACATGTACTCCCTTTTTCCCGCTTCCCTCACATCAAGGTAAGTTTCAATAAAAACAAGCAAACCAAAAACCCCCAAAACTTAATCCTGCTCCACTATTTTACTTCCTCCTGAAATTCTTTTCTGTGAGGTAAAGGTGACCTTCCTGCAAAGAGCAATTCCTCACTCCAGCCTGGATCCATGTCTCCCCAAGAAACTGAGTGACAGGGATCATCTCCAACACCAGTGGAAACAAGTGAACTTCAGGTGCAGTTTGAGGCAGCTGCCTCATGGGGCTGGCAGGATGTGAGACTATGCCATAGATGCTTGTAGCCAACTTTAGTACTGCCCTAAGGGATCAGTCCTGGTGGGCTTGGGGAACCATATGGGGTGCTGGGGATCGAACCCAGAGTGGCCTAGGGCAAGGCAAACAGCTTATTCTTTGTAATATGGCTCCGGCCACATTAAATGCTCTTACATAGAGGAAGGAAATCTAGTAATGCAACTGTAATAAATGAACTTCTGCATTCTTAGCTATGTTACCAGGATATTTTTTTTTAAATTGGACCACTGTGAGTGGGGGCGACTAAAACCTCACGGGAAGGGGGGCGTCTCAGTCCGCCTTTCACGCCCTACCGATGTCACCAGTTGCCCCCCACGAGCGGCTCTCCGGCACGGCCACGACTCCAGAGCACAGAAACCAATTTCTTAATTATCTGACTTTCAGTAGAAATACTTCCAGGATTAATAAGTAAAATAGCAGAAATCCAAAACCAACATTTAATTCTTGAATCCAGCTGTAGAAAGCAAATCACTTCACAATGCTTTTTCAGCATGTCTGATTTGGGGGGGGTGTAAACTCTAAATAATAGTGGTGAATCTTTTATTGAAACAATGAATCTAATCAAAGCAGATAGAGTGCTAACTAGAATTCATCTGCCTCACAGGGACTGGGAGGGGTGGGGGGGTGGGGTTTTATTGGGGTTCTTCATGGTAAAAAATAAGTATTGGTAAAGGGAAATGTGTTTGATATTTGCATGACTGAGACCTAAACCTGAAAGCTTTGTAACTTTTCCCACAGTAATTCAATAAATAAATAAATTTAAAAAAAATAAATTGGACCACTGTGAGATACACAGTTACAAAGTTGTTCAGGTCTGAGTCTTGCACATGTACTTGAATATAAACATAGCATACTTTCCAGTTACAAGAGCACCATTCATTGCTTGTCCAAGCCTAACAAATAGACACTAATCAGTCCTAGTGTCAGGTTTCTTAGGTTCAAACCATTAAACTTCCCAAGATCTATTTCCTCTTTTGCAACATAGAATAAATAATAATATTTGCTTTATTATTAGATTGTGAGAATAAAAAATATAAGAAATGTAAAGGATTTAGCAGAATTACTACAAATAATAAATGTTTAAATATTAACCAGATTGTAATTAGTTTAAATCAACATATTGTGGCTGGATTAAACTTTCTAAATAGCCTTCCATTAAACTAAAAGTCTTTAAAAGGATGATGCATATTTTATTTTTTTGAACCCCTAGTACAATCCTGATATGTTGTGGTTCTCGATATTTATTGAATTAATAGGAACAAGAGGAGCCAGAAGTACATTATCACTGAAGTCAAAGAAGAGGAGACTGGTCATTGCTTTTTACCCTTTGGAGAAGGATAAAGCCTGAGGGACTCTTGGATTAAAGGTGTATTTTGTAAATACCATTAGTTTTTTCGTTTGTTTTGGAGACATACCTTGCAATGCTCAGGGGTTACTCCTGGCACAAAAGTGGGGAAACTATATGGGATACTGGGAATCCGAATTGACTGTGTACAAGGCCAAGGTCAAGTGCCCTACCTGCTGTACTTATCAATCTGGCCTCCAGGCTTTTTTTTTTCTTCCTTAAAATATAAGCATTTGGTAGGGAAAGTTTTAGGGGAAAAGAGATAAAATAAAAACTTCAGAGAGAAAGCCCAGAGAGGTAGTAGGTAGTGGGTAGGGTGGTAGGGTGTTTGTATTTCATATAGTGGACCTGGGTTTATCTCTGGCATCCCGTATGATTCCCCAGTCTCTCACAATGGTGACACCTGACCACTCCATCAAGGATTTACTCTTCTCCACCCATCTCTGATCCATCTGGAGTTCCTCCCACTTGGAAAGGCGACACACTCAAAATTTGTGACCTGGAATTCAAAGGAGGCAAGGGTGCAGGAAGTAAAGAGATCATAAGGAGTGATCCCTAAACACTGCTGGGTGTGGTCTTCTCTCATCCAAATTAATAAAAGCTTCAGAGAGAAAAGGTATATATCCTTTTCTGGATTTGTATGTGGTATTTTACCCCTTGCCCCCAATATTGTCTCAAACATTTTTTGTATCCTTATGTATTCTTCAGAACAATGAGTTAGTGGCTAGAGAGATAGTATAATGGTTATTGTGATTGCCTTGCACTCAGCTGACCTTGCACTCAGCTTACCTGGGTTTGATCCCTGACATCACTATGGTCTGCTGAGCTTGCCAGGAGTAATTTCTGATACCAGAGTCAGGTGTAAACCCCCGAGGATCGCTGGTGTGCCCCTAACCAAAAACAATATCACTGTCACTATCACTATCACCCTGTTGTTCACCGATTCACTCTAGCGGGCCCAGTAACGTCTCCATTTGTCCCTGTCACGTGCTAGTGTAGCCTGATGACATATTGGGGGCTCCTTTAGGATCAGGGGAATGAGGACCATTCATTGTTATTGTTTTTGACATATCAAGTACACTACGGTTAGCTTGTCAGGCTCTGCCGTGTGGGTGGGATACTCTTGGTAGCTTGCCGGGCCCTCTGAGAGGGAGAAGAGCTTTTGGGGCAGCCTCTAATTACCTTTACAGGTGTTCCTAGACAGGCATATAGGCGGGTATGATACTCTCAGTAGCCTGCCGGGTTCTCTGAGAATGAGAACTAGAGAATAAGAGGTCGCGTGGCCGCAAATGCAGCTGTGCACTTCCGGGAGCTCGGTTTTAGAGTCTCTGGATCCTGGCTATTGATGGGGTTACACAGCAGTTGGTGGGTGTAACTAGCTACTGGGAGGTGGGGGAGCTGGGTGGAGGAGGCCCAGTCTCGAACCGAGCAGGCTTGGAGATTTCAGCCCTGGGTCCTGCACACCTGGGTTCCTCTGCCGGTTCCTCGTCCAAGTGTGTGGAGAGTGGTCTCAGCATGGCTTTGGCTGGGTCCCAGAGGTCTTCAGCTGTCGGAGCTCTGTTCAGGGCGTAGAAGGAAACTCAATCCGCTTTCTTCCAAGGGGCCCAGG